ATGGCGTCAATACCATGAGTGGCAGGTGGCTGAATTTTACGGAGACTTGCCTCGGTCTCCAACCCTCCTCGTTTCTCATCCGGGCTTGGACCGGCAATGGCGGAGTTTGGCGTCCCTGGGTGGGCGTTATCCATCTCGTTCTTTAAAGCAACTTCTGCAACTGCTGTTTCTTTAATAAAACTTTACGAAATCACTTAAGTACTTGTGAGCCGCAGAAACAGTCATTTTGTCCTTTGGCCTAAACGAGGTTTTTGTTGTTTTCACTCTCAACTATCTGTCCAGGTGCCTTGTTCATGGCTGCGTCGTCATGCCCCATCTTGTGAGAATACACTTCGGGCAGGTAGTTGCTGATGTCCATCAAGACGTTATTCTTAATTTGCGTTTCACGATTGGGGAATTCGATGGGCGTCGTTTAAGAACGAACGGTAGACGAAGTATGCGATCTTGCTGAGGAACAGTACCTAAAAGACGGCAGGATGATGCACTGGTAATCAGTAGACTTGATGATCCCTCGAGGTTGATTTTAAGATGATTTTATTTTAGCTTTGGTATGTTATTCGTTGTTTCTGTTGTTCACAAGTATTGAGTTTATTCACTGATCTTGGTTGCCCAGAAACGGACATCAGCGTGCATAAGAATGTTCATGAAATGAAGGCCGCCACAGATAGTTCCATTATGAAAGTGTGAGAAAGACAGACATTCCAACAGTTACACGCCTTCGATTTTTTCTCATATTAAATAAAGTTTATTATAAAAGCGACTTTCTATTGAAATTTTTGTGAAAAGCGGATGGATAGTTCACAAATCCGGTTGACTGTTCAACACTGTTTTGGTTATACATCTAGAAGCTATATTTCTCTGCTTTCCCGTGTAGAATCACTCTTTTCATGAATGAATATCGCTCCGTGCGCAAGAAGGATCAGACTCCACGTTATGGTTGTCATTAAACCGTAGAAACATGCTTTTACAAATAAGGTACTTCTGGCTGATAGCGTCGAACGCAAAAATAGGCCGCGCTATAGGCTTCATGAAAGAACGGCTACTGAATGGCTTCCTGAAGGTAGGGGGGTGGGAATGGAAGAATCAGTGGCCCAGTGAATAAGTTGTTTTGCTCTTTATGGGTATCGGGTTCAAATCGCGATGCTGCGTAGAATATTTACTATTGATTGCTATGTTGCTTGAATAACGAATTCACCCCAATGTGCTTCCATGTAAGCAGCTGAGAAGCGAATAATGGAGGTAGAATAATGTTCTAATGTGATCTTTTGTTAGCATGCAATACTTACTACCATGCTGAGTGATATGTGTGCCTTACGGATCAGATGCACACTGAATCGCCTTTAATTGAC